AATAAAATGAAATATAACATATAACTGAGTATGTATGTCAGCATAGCTAAAATTAACATAAAAATTAGTTTAGCTTGGATATTTGGATCGTGATACGTTAGATATTTTAAATATATTTGATGTTTTAAGTAGTGTTTACCTACTTTAGATATTTACATTGACTATTTATATTTATTTTTAAATATTTTGTAAAACTTCAAATATGTTACACATTTTAGATACATCTTTCGATATTAATCTAAAAATGACTATTTAAGTATATAAATCTGATTTGGATAGATTCAGATACCTGAAATATTTTGGCTTAGATCAGGTTTGGTTGCGGTTATATACATACTAAAATTTTGAAACCATTCGGATATTTAGCATGTTTCATTCTAGATTTGATATTACTTTTTGGATCAGATTCAGTTCAATTTTTCAGGTTTGTTTTTTTTTGTTCAGCCTTATTATTGATTCAAATAGGTAATTTAAAAAGGTAATGAATGAATTTTTATTTTCTTAGCTTACTTTATTGTATGTTTAATCTTTAAAATGAATATATCAATAAATATTTATAAAATGAATAAACCTTTATATACGGACAAAACACTAAAGTATAACATAATAAAATAAAGTATTACAACGTCTAAAGAACAATACGTATATATACATATATATATTTATATATATTCCATAAATACAGTCAACAAACACAATACATAGTACTTTATATAACTTAAAGCTGGAACAGAAGAAAACATACGGTTAATTCACATCTGAGTTATAAATCATTTGACAAAAAAGTAACTACAATTTCAAAAATAATTGTAACCAATAATTGAATATATCTGTACTATTATTTATAAAGTGATTTTTCGCATCTGAACTCTCATGTTAAAAACTGAAATTTATTATTATAAAATAGGGGTTTATCTTATTTTAGGATATCACGTCACTAATTAGTTATTCAGAAAATATGACAAGTGTCTTCATTTTTCTTTTTTTTAGGTAATATGCATCAATTTTGGGTTTTACTACTAATGAAATCATTTGACTTGGACTTTCTAAAATTGCTGAGACATTTCTCTTCTTGGCTCTTACTTATCCGTCTTCTCATCTATCATTTTTTTCTCTCAGCCTCTGCGAATCCCTCAGTTGAAACGGTCTTATGCGATTTTAAATAACTAATAACTTTTCTCAATTATGGTCTTTCATTTTTATGCCCCACTACATGCTCTTAATTTCCTCAGAAACCTTCTATGGTATTCTCAATTTCTCATTCTATTAATAGAGATGCAGAGCACTCCAAATCCCATTATTCTCTCCACTCACAACTATGATCTGATTTGTGTATTCTAATTTAAGTTTCTTATGTATATCCTGTTTTAATTCTTATACTTATTTCTTATATACTCTGTTTTGCTCATTTTTAATGATTTTCTTGCATTTAGATATTTTGTAAAAACTGTGATGTTATTAGATTATAAATTAGCTAAACACCAAGTTTATATTCTTTACTATTAGCATAATTCACAGATTCTTAATTCAATTTGATTAAATGCACGACCATTAGCTTCAATATCTTCTTTTTTCTCTGATCTGTTTGGTTATAGTCTTGATATTTATTTGTTCCATTCACATTTATTCTGATTTAAGTTAATGATCCATTTCAACAGGTATTTGTGAATAATCATGGAATCTGAACTCAAACAAACTCTAAACAATAGATACGGGGCTTTACAATTATGAGAGATCATAGTGATTGCTCTCTTTGCAGCTTTCATACCCATCATAACCATTTCAGTATGGCTCAGCTTCCTATATTCTGTTATTAATTACATCAACTCTTTTTTTGAAATTAGAATTGAATTGATTGTCTTGACCTTTTAATTTTGCAGTGGTAAGAGCTCCTGGTATGAATCCTTTAAATATTGTATTGACTAAACCGAATTTGGTGATAGAAGATGTCTCGAAATTGGAATCGTCTGGCTCTGAGTTAGATAAATGAGATGCAACTGTAAACTCGTTTCCATATTATCTTGGAAAACAAAGCCCGTTTGGTTCAGATTAATAAATGTTTTGGTTGTTATTCTTTTCATTTGCAACAAATGTATACACATGTTAATCAAGTTTTCTTTTTGAAAATTGAAAATCATTGCAACAGCCTATTTACATAGTTTAACTATGTATATTTATAAATTTAAATTATAAATATCTAATTAACAAAAGAAATATTTTTTTATTCACAATAAACTATAACCATATATAGTAATTTTAATTATGTATGATAAAATTATTGTAACGATTATATTTTACAAGTTAGTCAGTAATATTTATTTGAAAATTCTAATCAATTATTTTGATATATAAAAACACCTATACGATTTTAACAAACATGTACATGTATAAATAGCAATGCTAGTTTCATATTATTTATTTATCTATCTTAAAGTATTTTTAATTAATTAATAAGTTATTTCTTTCATAACGTGTTATCATTAGTTATGAGAAAAATGTAAAAAAATAATTAAAAATTCATGAATGAGATATATAGCTGAAAATGTATTGATTTATTGTTATAGCTAAATTATAATAAAGATTAAGAGAAAACAAACAACCAAAATTTCATAACTATTATAAAAGAAATCATTAAAATTATTGTAGGAAATTTATCAATGTCGATACTACTTTTAGTTAAAATAATTAAACTTTAAAATAAATTTATTTATTTTTACACTCGTAAGACAGATTTACCCTAGTGGTTAATAAAATTATTAATAAATAATTAAATTTATCATTATACAATTAAATATAAATCAAAAACAAATTTCTGTTATTTTATAACTATCTTTACCTAAAAATATTTTTATTGTGTTAAGAGTCTTTATTAACTTTGAAAATGAGTATATTTTTTATATAATTAATTATCAATTAAAAATGAATTTCGTTGTTTTGATTATTATGTTCGTATAAAAAAATTCTATTGTTTTAGAAAAATTAAAGAAATATATGTTCCAACATATATATTTTATATATAATTTTATGTCTAGATGAGTGTTTTTAAATTTCTATTACGTAATAAAATTATACTGAAAAATATTGTCATTTCTAAGAAAATTGATATTTATTTAGTGTTAAATAAGTTAAACGTATAGTATTTTCAAGTTTATTTTACGTAATAAAAATATTTATAGTATGATGAAAATATTTGTATATAGAATTGTTTAAAATTTATTATTAAAGATTTTGAATCTATTAACAATATCTTGTTTCAATATTTTTAATTGATAATATATTTATTTATAAATATTATAAATTATTATATTCGTATAACACCATGGTATAAGGATTTAATAATGCATTGTAATTGACGGACCCGTAAGCGGAAATTATAAAAAAAAAATCACAATATGGGTGGGCGGGAATAGTATACAACTCATAATCCCACCCATGCTTTGTATTATTATTTAATTTTCAAAAGAATAATGTGAAACTTATTCAACAAAACAAACTTGTTGTACATCAAGTGTATTTATTCTGTGGAGAACATACAAGAGATTTATGGTTTGATTGGTAAGAGCTGTGATTTCATTATTTTGCTGTAGAAATATTGCTATGATATTTTTTGTTTTGGCTTTAGACTTTTAATATTTAAAAGTCTTTAAATATGAGCTGTACGTATTTGTCTCTGTAGAACAATTATAAAGACATAAATTTAAAGAACAGCTGTAGAATTAAAAAAACAGCTAAGACTTAAAAAAAATAAAAATCATAATTGATATAGATATAAACTGTAAGTATGATTATGACTGTGGAGAGCATCTATAGCAATATCCAATCACAGCCTCAGAGACAGATACTTTGCAGTTTATGTTAATGCAAGCTGAAAACCAAGTGAGCCATCTTCGGAGCGATCGTCCTAAGATTGTAGTATAAAACTGGATTCACTTTTTATATTTTTGTAGATGAGGTTGATTAGGCGATGTGGCATTGAATGTGCTTTGCTGTGTTTTTTTGGCTGTTTCTCTCCTTCAAATGTAAAAAATACTTTGGTATAGCATATTTGATAACCAAATTCCTTCACACCACTAACTAAGATCAAATTGTTTGTATGTTGGTTGTTCTATTCCGGTCTGAATTCCCAGACCACCTCAAGCTTGAGTAATAAATTAACCTTTCGTTGTAAAAAAAAAAAGAAAAAAAAAGATCAAATTGTTTTATCTTATCTTTCTACTAATCCTATCTTTCTTTATTTTTTTTTTATTGCAAAGATAAAAAAAAGACCAGAATCGGTTTAACTGATATGAATCTTAGTTAACCAATTTTGATAATAAATGGAATAACTTTCTGTCAAAAATATTTTAAAGAATGACCAGAAAAGAACTAGAGAGGGTGGCCAGGAATCTCTAGTCACTAGTCAAAAACAACAAACTCTACTTTTGCTTTTTGATGTTATATTTTATTTTTGCAGGTTTCTTCTCATCATCTTCTTCTTCCTCTTGCCTCCTTTCTTTCATCACACATAAAAGTGAAAGCCAACACACAGAGCCATATCTTCTCAAAAGAAAGAAAACTATATATCTACAAAACATTATCTCTTGCTCTTTACTCTCTCTCTCTCTCTCTCTCTCTCTCCCCCCCCCCTTTCTACTTACATGTACGTCTGAACGTCTGTATGGAACAAAGTTCTTTATATCATGCTTCTTGTGATTATATGTATATAGTCTTATAGATACATATCTACATATATCATCATAAATGGTTTTTTATTTGAATATGTTTTTTATATATGAATATTTGCATGAGAATTTGTCCCTTGGAAACTTTCTATCTCAAATGGAGTACAAGAAACTTTATTTATAATTATCCAGCGTTAAAAAAAAAAAACTTTATTTATTCTCTACAAGTTCACCTTTTTATGTGATGAATTACAGATTTTAACTAGTGGATAAAACGGTATGGTTTGTTATTTACCTTTTGTTCTTGGTGCTCAGGTCTTACCAAATTCTTGCTTTCTAATTTAGTCTCCTTAATTTAATAGTATTAATTTCTCTTAAAGCACCGACGACTTAAAACCACAACAAAACCAGTTTTCCTTTTTCTTTCAGTTGAGCTTAAAATTACTTTAGTTTTAATTCATCTCACCAAACCCTAATATTGACGAGATTCAAGACTCGGTTTTGCACTCGTTATTGTTTGACATGGTCAGTTAATAACTAAACATTATCTTTATTATTGTAGGGTTTTCAAGAAATGATAAATGTAAAACCAATGGAGCAGCTGATTTCAAAGACTTTGCAACAACAACAGCAAACATTCATCGCCACCACTACGAGGCCAAACCCCACAGCAGTCAACGGCGGGTCCGGCGCGGGAACTGACACCGACACTGCCACTACGATGGAAATTAGTAGAAAGACGAGGCCGCAAGAGAAAGTGAATTGTCCAAGATGTAACTCAACCAACACAAAGTTTTGTTATTACAACAACTACAGTCTCACGCAACCAAGATACTTCTGCAAAGGTTGTCGAAGGTACTGGACTGAAGGTGGCTCTCTTCGTAACGTTCCTGTCGGTGGAAGCTCAAGAAAGAACAAGAGATCCTCCTCAACAGGTTTAGCTTCACCTTCCAGTCCCAAGCTTTCAGATCTAAACCCACCGTTTCTTTGTGCAAGCCAAATCCCTAATAGATCGTCAAAAGATCTCAGCTTATTGTCTTTCCCAGTCATGCAAGATCATCATCATGGTATGTCTCAGTTTTTCCATATGCCCAAGATCGAGGACAGCAATACTTCATCCTCAGTATACGTTTCATCATCTCCTGGAGCCGCTTCAAGAGGCATGAACACGTTCTTGGCTGGTCAAATGATAGATTCAAACTCAGTCCTTTACTCATCTTTAGGGTTTTCAACAATGGCTGATTACAAACAGAGTAATAATAATCTTTCGTTCTCTATTGATCATCATCAAGGGATTGGACATAAATCCATCAACAATAACCAAAGAGCTGAAGATAACAATAATGCTGATGGTATGAATGGAGCGAATAGGGTGTTGTTCCCTTTTTCAGACATGAAAGAGCTTTCAAGCACAACCCAAGAGAAGAGCCATAATCCATATTGGAGGGGTATGTTCAGTAATACAGAAGGATCTTCGTGGTGAAAAAGACTTAAAGAGAAATCATGAACTTATTACCTTTCTACTCTTTCTCACTTTATCTATCTATCATATTTTTACTTTGATGATCTTTTGTTTTTCTCACATGGGCTACTTTAGTTAAAGATGTCAGAACTTAGTTTAGAGATTGTCTTTTAATTCCATCTTTTTGGGTATTTTTTTAAAAAAATATACTTCATAATTGGGTTTGATGGTATATTTAGGATAAAAAGGGTTTTCGTATCATACGGAATAGTGAGGGATGTGATCAGTGGCGGAGCCAGAATTTTTTTTCACTGGGGTCATTTTTTAATAAAATTTTGAAATATATAATATATTTTATATTTATTTATGTTTAATATATTTTATTTTTAATTTAATTTTGAAATAAGAAAGTTACTTTAAAAGTATTTACCAAAATAAATTTAAATGTTTAAAATATATATATATATATTTAGAATTTGATGCATTATCTAATAAATTAAATTATAAATATAAATGTTAAATTATCTGTGAGTTTACATTATTTTATAAAACTTAATATGAAATGAAATATCATCTATATATATTAAGGGATACTAAAAAACATATAATGTAAACTCGTTTTATTTTGTAGTGAACAATAAAAAGATGAAAATAAGATTACAGTGATAAAGAAAACACCAGTTAATAACTTAATAGTTAATGAAACTTCATCAAAGTGAATCCTTTTTATATTTAATATGGGTTAAACTAAAATTGAGCCCAAAAATAATATTTAGTCAAAAAATTAAGCTCAAAAATAATGATCAATGCTTTAATTATGTTTTTGCCTCACATTTGGTTTGCTATGGGGTCACTTAAATTTTTTTTGCTGGGGTCACACAATAATTTTATAAAATAAAACAAATAATTTTTTAAAAAGGTGGGGTCACCTGACCCCATTCCCACAGTAATAGCTCCGCCCCTGGATGTGATCATGTGAGGGTAGAAGAATAAGTGAACGCGATGGCTTTGTGTGTAGTCGCCAAAATATGAGATCTGTATTCATCATTTCTTCTATTTGTAAAAGTATTTGTGTAATTTATTCATGTTTTTATTAATCATAATCTAAGTTATAGTTTATACTAGTTGCATAGTCTCCGCGTAAGCGCGACGAAGAAGTTTTTGATGCTTTTATTTTTTTGGTATTTTGTGTATAGTTTTGTTGTTAATTTGTGTCACTGGCTAGCTTAGCATTTGTTGGTTGGCACTGTGCATATGATGATGATCGGAAGAAATATTTAGAGTTACAATTCTTACTATTTGATTTGAAATATTTGAGGTTAGTTATCGTATATTTATAATAAATTGGTTGACCATTTACTTTATTATTGATTTCATGATCAAAGTTAACTGTAATTATACTAATGAAACCGTGGTAGTGAAAGTGTCATTTTTTTTTCCAAATTTAACATCATATACAGTTAAGAATTTGTTTTTAAAACGTAACTAGGGTTAATTTTGTAACTAAATATTTGCAATCTTCTTTGTTGGATAGAGTAAACGTTCTATAGTTTCATAAACTGAAATAGTCATATGACAATAAATTATTAATTAAATTTCAGGATCTATAATATTTTTTTTTTAAATTTGGAGTTATGGGACGCCCAAAACACCCTATATATGACCTCTCTATATTCTATTATCCACAGCTATTTGTTAGAGTTGATTTGTAGTATTTATGTTTCTATTTTCAACGCTCATAATACTATCGTATGTATGTGTGCTTCCAGAATAAAGAGACCATGTCGATAATAAACTGAGACATTGTAAATTCGGAAAACATTGGGAAACTAATTTCATAACAACAACTACTCCTCACCTGGACCTGCAATTCATTTCTAAATCCACACATAAATTTTTTCTAACTTGGCAGAGTAAGCATGCAAAACTAAAAGTTTGAAAATAGTAATACGTAATTATTGAATCAAGTAAAACTCTTCAAAGATTCTTTCAAATTCCAAAACATAGATAAAAATCCCCAGCAGAAAAAAACAATAAAGGAAAGGAGAATAACAGAGGTTTATAATGAGAAACAGAGATAGTAGTGTTTTAAGAAAAACACAAAATAAGGGTACTGACGGGTTGATAAGGAATATATATTCCCAATCACTCACGGCTGCGCTTGCGTTTCTTCTGAGAGTTTGAAATCACTGGAGCATCTGCTCCATCACATTCCTCCCCAATTTTGTCTCCCAAAACAGATGGTCCCGAACACGTTATTGTTAATTCTTTGTCACCTCTAGTGCTTGGAAAAAGGCTCTCACCGTGTTCCTGAATACAGTGCAGTCATGTGTAAATAATATGGTGCAGACAGCGATGATAATGACAAGTGAAAAACGGTGGTTGGATGTGAAGTTGAATGGTGTGACACGGATCTGAATCACAAACTCCTTCCCTGTCAGCTCTTCAAGACAGCTTGGGAGATCATCCTATCTCTGCCATCATCAACAGCAAGTTCTACGCGAAACCTTTGCTTGCGAAATGGTCTTATCAGTAACTAAATAGCCAACACTGCTTCTATTACATGGTAAAAAGCAGACAAAGGTATCTGATAACACCTGTGACATCAGAAGTCACACATCGTTTGCAATACAGGGAAGTTCCACGTTTTCTCCAATTTTTTTGTTGCAAGCAGTGCATGAGACAAACAACCACCCATTTGCTGAGATGACAATGACGATGCGGGATTTGCAGAGGAAATCAGCTTCTTGGGTTTGAGCAGATGAAATAATTTTAATATCAAAATAACATCTAATATAGACAACCATAGACAAGGTCAGGCGAGAAGCTTCTCATTGGAGTTGTAGATGAAGGTGTTGAGATCCCCTATGGAGACAAGTCCCTTCCTCTTGCTTCCTTCTAGAGTGTCGACATAGGTGAAATCCTGAGATGCCGTAGTCCTAACACTGCATAAAATAGTTTGGAATATTATAAAGTGACGAAATTATGGTAGTACTTGAGTATTGTGTGCTAACCTGCTAACAAACTTTGCTATTTCAGGGATGTTTGTGTCAAAGAAGAACCGAATTCCTTGTGTGGAGTTCAAATACATATTACCTGGTGACCACATGAATAAGGCTTTAGAAAACTGCATTGAAGATGTTTCACGCCCAAAAGTGATTGAAATATTATGGCATTAATCAGAGACAAAATGATCCTAACCTCCAAACACTTTAGGATTGATGGTGGTTACCAACATCACATACAAGGTTTTATCCCCCGCTTTTAAAAGTCCCCTGAAGCTTGATGCGGCCTCATCCCACAAAGATAAGTAGATAGTAACATTCCTGGTTTGGATACAATAAGTAGACATACCGACAAATCAAAGGAGCATAACCAAACAATTTTCTAGTAAGCTACTAAGCATCAGAACTGTGTCATCTCCCTGGCACCACCTAATCTAAACGACTCAATATAACGCTACATGAAGCAGCTGAAGCATCCATTTTTGCTACGGTTGTTTGAGAGAATGACTACGAAATTAGCTGAGAAGAAAAGCTGAAAGCGAAAAAAAAAAACACAGCGGAGTACCTTCTTATATAAGACAATGAAGAAACCGTTACAGGAAGATGACTGCTATGGTCGCCAGTGAATGCGATCTAAGAGGAATGATCCATAATAGATAATGGATTGCTTACATAGAAGCTAAAAATTTCATCATAAGAATCTCGGGTTAATCATGGTTTAGTAGAACCATACTTATAGAGCTCTTCAGCTTATTGACCTTTGTGCCCGTGCGTGAACTTCGCAATCCTTTATCCTTTTCAACATAAGTTCTAGGTGTTTTTTTCTCTGTTAAAGCATTTTATTTTAGCTTAAGTTCCTTACAATGCATGTCCCTTTTAAGTTTTAACTAGATTTTAACCAGCCTTTGAAAGGGTGGGTATATTTTTGATTTTTTTCTAAAAATTTAATTTTTATATTTATGTTTTTCTTGTAATCATATTTGTGTTTAAATTTAGTGTATCTTTGATAGTTATATTAATATGTCAAGCTGCATAAATATACACTTATGTCATATGCATTTTAGAAATTATTTTTAAACTTTATTCATAAGGATTACAACATGTTATATTTCTTTAGTAGTTACCTAACATAATTAATTGAGAGTATTTGTATCCAAAAAATCAAAATCGGAATCGACACCGAAAATCAAAATCTCATGCTCTGTTAAACCTACCTTATATAATCAAGCAATTCTTAAAATGTTATATCCAAAAACCAATATCAAGCCTAACTCGCACCGTAAATCGAACAAAATTTTTGAAAATGTTTGAATTTTTTTTAATATATATATGTAAATGGGTTTATATGGTATTTACTAATTTTAAGTAAAATCATATTTAATTAAAACTAGATTTTGACCCGCGCACCCGCGCGGATGTTATTTTAATTCGAAATGTGATTTTTTTAGCAGTTTGTTAAATATACTCATATATTCTATATATGTGAACATGTTAATTAGAGATGGACATTTCAGTTTAATTTCGGATTTGGTTTGAGTTTGATTCAGTTTGGTTTATTTTGGTCTCAGAAAGTTTTAACCAAAATCAATCCAAATTAGTTTGATTCAATTTGTGTTTGCTTTGATATGTGTTTGGTTGGGTATGGTATGTATTTGATTAGATTATTTATTTAATTTGTGTTTGTTTAGTTTAGTCATGTCGAATTTTTAGTGTTGTTTTACTTAAGTTACAAAATTTTAATTTATCAAAATGTAAAAATTATCATTTGACACGAAATCATTGTTTTCTATATTTAAACGTAAAACCAAACTACTAAAAATATAGAAGATGTAATATAATAATTTTATATTATTATTTTAAAACCTAATATAAATATTTTAAAATAATTTTTCGGTTTTGATATTAATGTATGAGATTCATATTATCTTACTTTATTTTTGGTTTTGTTTATTGTTAGACTGGTTTTTGTAATAGTTTACACTTTAGAAAAGGGAATAAAACAAAAACCAGTCAATATTTATATGGAATAGTTTGCATTGTTAGAATTAAAAAAAAATCTTGACTTGTTTTTGTTTTAGACCGCAACGTTGAACCAACTTTGACACGTGAGTTGAGAAAAAAAGATTATATGTTAGACTGTTTGAAATTAATTTTGGGTGAAATTCTATTAGATGGGATACATAATCTTGTTTTAGTTACAAAATCTTGTTTGTCTTGATTCCAAATCTATAAAAGAGTTGGGATTGGTTAAAAGGAAGAGGTGATGAGTGGTTAAGATTTATAGGTTTAGTAATGTTATTGATTTGCCGTAATGTTTGGTTTTGGTTATTATTTAATTAAATTTAAATGGTTTGATTTAAATATTAAATATGATTTATGACAGTGGCATGAGATGGTAATTATTTATAAAAAGTTAGGGTTAAATACAAAATGTATTTCAGTTTTAATAGTTTAGATATTTTAATCGAATAACCTATTCTTTTGACATCAATCGAATAACTTATTTAAAACCAGTTAAGCTAAATAACTTTATATGAATATTTATTTCTATTAAAAGTCCATTTAAATCCTATTGTTAACATCAAGCGCTTTGTTAATTGATAAACTTAATGTTTGTGTAAAATGTTTAAAATGTGAATAAACTAAAGTCTAGTTGAATAAGTTTTAATTTCTTGGACTGAAATTTAAGTTACATTGTTGTAGTGTGATAATGATTTTTGAAAAAATATATCAAAGTTTACTATAATTAAATATTATACCAAAATAGTCATAATATATATTTTCTTCTTAATATTAAGGGTGAAATGGCACATCGTTGAATCAAACATAATTCAGTTATACTCAGGTAATTCAAACATAATACGTCTACATCCGATAATTCAGGTACAAAGGCACATCGTTGAATCAAACATAATTAATCTGTCGAGTAATTTGTTTTAAAGTATAACTGCCGCTATATCTAAGGATTCTTGTAGAAGTGTGTCTCAACAATTGAAAAAAACAAAATAATGTATATTATTAAAAATTAGTTGAACATAACTTATATTAATATGTCATGTTCCTAATTTAATAATATTGATGTGAGTATTCTTAAAGAACACTAACTAATGATCAACAGAACAAAACAGTACATTAGAATAATAGTTTAATTCCGAAGGGACAACTATTAATAATTTAAATGTGAAATTTTCAAGCTGAGAATTAACAAATTACCAAGATTTTTAGTTGAACCAGCGCTGTGGTATGACATATTTTTATTTGTAATTATAATTTTAAAATATATTATTATAAATACAATAGGTTTTATATATTTTACATTATTTCTTACACAACTTGGTTATCTATGTATTCAGTAATTTGATATATATATATAGCAAAAATGGATTACCTAACACTATAACAACTTTTTTTTTTGTGTATTTTGTAAATAACATTCTTGAGGAACTAAACATTTACAATTTTTTTTTTTTTTTTTTTTTGGGGGGGGGGGGGACTAATTGGATAAAAGATTTGAGAGAGTTCAAGATTTATTAAGTAAACCCAAGAAAATCCAAGATTTGAGGAAATCTTAAAAATATATGTTACAAGTTTCAAAAGTTTTTGAAAAAATTTCAGAGTTTTCAGATTTTTTTTTTAAATTTCAAATATTTATTTAAAATATGTTTTTTTTTTTGAAAAAAAACTTTGATATAATATCAGATAACTCTGACAAATTTAAATATTCCGTATTAAAAATATTCAGGTGAGTTGGATTTATAGGAAATTATGATAACAAGGTGTCTTGCACTTGTGGACATAAATATTTTATAATTATTTATATCAATACATGTAATACTTAATAAATAATTATAATGAGCAAATCTTAAAAATATATGTTACAAGTTTTAAAATTTTCTGAAAAAAATTCAGAGTTTTTAGATTTTTTTTTTAAATTTCAAATATTTATTTAAAATATGTTTTTTTTTAAAAAAAAATTTGATATAATATCACATAACTCTGACAAATTTAAATATTCCGTATTAAAAATATTCAGGTGAGTTGGATTTATAGAAAATTATGATAACAAGGTGTCTCGCACTTGCAGACATAAATATTTTATATTTATTTATATCAATACATGCAATACTAAGTAAATGATTATAATAATAAATTAATATTTAATTTTTATTTGAAATTATTATTTACTATAATTTTTTGAAACTTTTTTGTATACTATATTATATTTTTATTAAAATATATTTTAAGATAACAACACAACATATATATGAATTATTTTTTATTTAAAATAATTATATTTTATTTAAATATATTTTTAGATTTTGGATAATTATAAATATTATTAATTTTAATTAATTATCTAATCAAATAAATTTATTTATTTTTTATTATTTTGGCTAAAACATTTTATTTTAATATATTCATTACTAATTAAAATACTATAATGATAAATTGTTTACGGGTTTAAAAAATATTATATATATTTGCGTTTGAAAATTCTTACATATAATTTAAAAAAATTTCTTTGTACAATATATCGATTATTTATAAATAAATCTTAAAAGTTACTCAATATTCTCTATTAAATTATAAAAATTAAAAAGTTACATGATTAAAATTTAGTTATGTGTTTTCTGTTTTTTTTTTACTTTTTAACTTTAAAAAAAAATATTTTTCAGGTAAAAACAGTATAAATATTAATTACCTTTATATTTTTAAAATATATTTTTTTAAAATTTGGATAATTATTATTATTTTTAATTTGAAACATTTATCTAATCAAAATAATTTAATTTCGTTTTTGTTTTAGAAATAATATATATATTTTATTCATTAAGGGTATATACGATACTAACCGCTCCAACTTTTAACATGAAAGCTCCGTTGCGAAAAATCACTTCGCAAATAATAGTATAGATTTTAAATATTTTGGATAAAAAGTAATAGGAAAACCAGTTTTTCGGATCGATAGTTCAGTTTATAAATAGTATTTTTGGAATATTGATTGTTTCAAAACTAACTATATTTTATATTCTTAGGTATATAAACTGTACTTTGGAAGTTTGATTCTCGGTTTGGTTCCGATTTGGTTTCAGTTTTTCAATTCTAGATATTTGTGAACACTGATTCG